ACACACACACACACACACACACAAGTTTAAAATGCACGAATATTATGAAACTCTTTTTTAACCAAGAAATGTTCTCAGTTTTTTTTATACAGGATTGATTTGGTTAAAAAAATATAAGCTTAAGTGTGCACGCATAGTTATAAAAATTGTAATGTAAAGGAGTTAAATGTTGCCTACATTTACTAAATATGTTCATTTATGTGAGTACATTGTTATTATGTTTATTGAGAATCTTAAATTTAGTTTTTTCCTCCCTTTTCATCAATAGTCAGGCAGGCCGTTGACAGCCCACTAGTTTAGAATTCTGGCATTTGACCACATAATTGTGTCCATAGTGCCGCAAAACAGTGTTCCATCAATCAGTCTGCTATTTATAAATAAAATGAGATTAAAATAGTTTGTTTGTTTCTTCGTTCGTTTGTTTGCTTGTTTGTCCGTTTGTTCGAGTTTGTGTTTAACGGCACTATCGACTCAGTTTTGGTCACATCGGGTTAATTCTGTTGTTTTGTACAGTTCCCAGATTGTTCGCATGTGACGATCTCTGCCACAGAAGTATTCATGATCTAGTGCTCACTTTTAGCTTGTCTGTATTATATTTCCCTAACGCCACCTTATTAATCGTTTTTCTAGTTTACCTGGCGGCTATATCAAATGTCCTCAATTCCCTTATAACGGGGTCGTTTTCCTCCTCTGTTATCTGTAACAGATGCAATATCTCGTTCTGTGTATTTAGACCTAACGTTTAAAACATATGATGCTTTGTACATTAAACTATCCATTTCTTTGGATCGTGTGCAGCCTGTATATTTGAGCATGCATTTATCCCACTTACTTCTCTATGTTAGGAATGCATATATTTACTCTCTTAGTTGCAGGAATCATTTACCCTAGTCTCTTTTGGGTGGTTTTTTTAGCATGTTTTCTTCATTTCCCTCGTCGAAGCATTATTTATTTATTTATGTATTTACGTATTTATTTATTCATTTATTCATTCATGATTCATTTATTCATTCGTTTAATCATTCATTTATTTTCATGTATTCATTCATTCATTTATTTCTATTCATTTATTCTGTAATTCGTGTGTTCATTTATTAATTTATTTATTTATCTATTTTAAATCATTTATTCGTTCATTCATTT